GTATGAAGCAAATTACGGCGAAAATACGAATAGCCGTATCCATAGACCTGGGAAGTTTCTTTTCAACATAAAAAAATTTCATATATTTATAATTACATAAAAATCCATAAATCATTTCACGGCGTTGTACATCTAATATAATTTTTAAATATTGTAATATTTCTCCAATTGTTGCTTTATCTGTTAAAGAACTATTTGATGCCTTTAAATCACCCACACAAACAACAAAATCTTCTAAAAATTCCTTTGGTGTTTCAATGCTGATATTTATATTTTTATATATAAATGTACAATCAGGACGAAATTTATCTTCTAAATAACCTGACGTAGATGTATTTAAATATTGCAATAATGTTGCATTATTAAATGTATTTAATAAATTAACAATTAAAATATCAAATGCTGCTTGAATAATTTTTTCGATGAGTTTAACGTTTGATAAACAATTATTTAAGTATATTTCAACATAAGTTAATATATTATCATTAAAATAAACATTATCCTTTAATAGATCATTAATATCGAATAACTTTAAATTATCTTTAACATAAATGTTGTAAAAATCAGAATGAGACGTGAATAAAATAAGACTTTTTTTAATTATTGATGAGTCGAATTCGAGTTGTAGCTTTATTCTTTTAGTTTCTTCCACTTCATGTTGATGTTTACGTTTTGTTTGTTCGACTTCACGTTCCTTTATTTCAAAACGTTTTGTTTCTTCAATTAATTTTCGTGCGTCGAATTCAAGTTTATATTTCATGTCTTGCTCTTTTTCGTATTTCTTGAGTTCATATTCCATTTGTTGCTTGTGCAAAAGTAATTGTAGTCGGAATTCATCTGAAACTTTGTTGTTGGCATCATTTGTAGTCATAGTTGTGTAATTTTCTTTTATGTTTTTTATCTATAAAAAGATAGAAAAATATATTTTTATGAACTTTATCGAAAAGAACAACACATTTGAGTGATTATATTTCGCTTAAACCGAATGTCGATATCTTAATAACATATAGGGTTAGTTCATATATAAGTCACAAGTGATCATATTTATTTATGTTCACTAAATGAAATAGAATCAGTTGATCAATCTATTTCAGTCGGCTATTTTTCTCGTCAATAGTCGAAAACAATGAATATTGTTAGATTATAATGTAATAAAAATTGGATAGAACTATCTTTGTTACTCAGGTTCATATGCTGTTTGTGCACACGTCCATTGTTTATTGTACAGA